GCTGGCTTTAAAGATCTCTCAAACGTGTTTAAAGCAGTTTTTAAACTGATTTCAGTCAGGTTTAAAACCTACTTAAAGCAGGTTTAAAGCAGCTTTAAAACTGTTTTAAAACAGTTTTATATAGTTTTACAGCCGTTTCAAACCAGGTTTAATCCATTTCGAGTTGAAAATGGGGCCTAACTCGGTTTTAAACAGTTTTCAAAAAGATTTAAAAGAGCTATTGCGCTGGTATAAAAGAGCTTTAATAAGAACATAACTGACCTTCTCATCACGTTGTATGCCTAAGCTGGAAATATAGATTGGTAGGCCATTCGGCAGTTCCAGATCGGAGTAGGGTGCCAGAGTGAAGCGTTCCCCAGTCGCGGGCTGTGCGCATTCTCGTTCGGCATAGCCAACAATGGGATACTTGCGTAGGGTCTCGTTCAGCACCTGAGTCAGATAGGGCATCTCTTGAATGCGTTCGTAATCAATGTGATCCTCTGTACCAAAGTAGTCCTTTATTTCCCGACGCAAACGATCCTGTATCTCAGGTTGATGGGCAAACTCGAACAGTGTCATGGTCATGGTCGAGGAGCTGGTCTCGTAGCCCGCGGTCTGAAAGATTGCCGCCTGTGCCACAAGATAGTCCAGTTCCTTGGCCCTATTTTCTGTCCTATCGGGCTGGGCAGCCGCCTCTTGCTTCATCGCCAGCAATATGTCAATCAGATCGTTGCGTCGCAGACCCGATTTCTCGCGCTCTGCCAGAACATAGCTGATGCTGCGGCGCATGAAATTGGAGGCTTTTTTGGAGAAGACCGTAACGCGGGCCAACGAAGCTAACATGGGCAGCATAAAGATAATGGTAAAGTCGATGCCGCGGCTGATGTTTATGTCGAAAATGGACTTGTTGTATTTATAAAATTCGCTCTTTATATCGCCCAACGCATTGGCTTTCAGTCCAAAAGCGATGGTCGCTATAAGATCCGTGGTGAAACGCGAGCAAATATTTTTAACACTTATCAGAGAATCAGCGGGTAGTTCTGCCAGATTCTTTTCAAGATTCCTGCCGATCTATATTATAATTTAAATGAATTTGAAATCCCAAAAAATGAACCCTCTGGCACTCACCTCCAACATCAATGGATACATTTGCTTGATCTTGCCGCTGGTGAACACGGGCGAGATTTTATTGCGCAACTCCTTCCAGTCCGGATTGCGTACAAAGAACAGATTATTTTTGCCCAGCGGATCGCGATGGGGATCGGTTTGTAGCGCACGATTTGTAAAGTAGCTAAATTTCTTGATCATCACCGTTTTAATCAGATCCAAATCTCTAATGATTAGAGCTGGACGATGCAGTAGATACACCCCGACAAACGGCTCATTTTCAAAACCTTTCGCCGTGTGCAGCAAACGGATCTGCTCGAAGAACGCCACTCGGCCGGTGAGTATACTGCGGGCATTTCCAAATATTGGCGACGGTTTGATTTGCTTTACACCCGATCGATGCCAGTAGCTATAGGCGCGTCGCTGCCATATATAAAAAACGATCGCCAATGTGGCGATCAGTAGTAACAGTTCTGTAGACATGTTTAAGGTTTCGACAACATGCAGCCACTGTTTTGGGCATTGCTCTTGCTGAAGCTTTTATTAACACGAGAACACGACGATCGGCTAGTCATTCTAACTTGGTTTATTTTCGCTTTGATAACAGACTTAGTTGCCGAGCATTGCCAGCAATAATATTTGCCTACTCTCGATGACTAGACAAAATATACACACGTTTTTTTCTGCCGCGAACAAATATGCGCAAATCTTTCAAATCGAGATTTGCATTAAAATCCGACGCAATACAGTACAGGTCTTCTGCCATTCTGTGACATTGTTAATTTCTAATTTCTAACCTAAATTGATAAAGGATAACCAATTCATGCTTAACAATACAAAATCTACAGCTTGCATGTAAAAAAAGCTAAATAAAATTAAAAAAAAAAAGAGCTTTCCCCGTTTCCCATACCGGGAATTGAACCCGGGCCTTCCGGGTGAGAGCCGGATATCCTAACCACTAGACAATATGGGAAGTAGTTAAGGTACCGGCAAATCCTAATTTAACCACACAAGAATTTCACACGTACTTCAGTTGAAAGCAGTTTTTTCTGCGTGTTTAACTATTAGTCAGTTAACTGCTTGTATCTTGTCGGTAATGCAGTTACGACATCAAGATGTTATTGCTAAGCGTTCTTAAAAAGATTATGACATTGTGGCAGCATGTGGTCCTGTGGCGCAATGGATAACGCGTCTGACTACGGATCAGAAGATTCCAGGTTCGACTCCTGGCAGGATCGATTTTTTGTTTAATTATTTATATAATTTACTTTAATGTAAATTATTTTTTGTATTAAAAAAAACACTCCAAATCCATTTAAAGTGCATTGAAGACAATTGTTGTTTAACAACTAATTTGCTTAGCTGCCTCGAGTCTTTACACAGACATTAGAGGCAGCTATCCTAAAAAGGCAGTTAACTTAATTTATTTTTTTTTCCTAAACGTGAATCGATTTCATAGTAACCTCACTTTTTTAACTTGCACTGAATTCTATTTAACAGTACTAAGATTAATAAATTAATTTGATAGTTTTTATTAACTTTATGTACTTAAATTACATTTAATTCAATTTCAATACAGTTTATTGTACACATAAGAAAAACATATCAAAAATCAGCACATCTGATCATAGATGGCGCAGTCAACTTACATGATATTCATAGAAATTGGCAAACAATTACTGCCTATAGGAGGCGCTTAAGTGCAAAAGGCTGATAAGTTGGATGCACTTAATGTAATTAATTTCATACAAAATTAGCTCTTATTGCAGCGAAAAGAAAGTTTCAGGCAGCTATCTTACCGATGCAGCTTAGTATCGAGGCAGCTAAGCAAATTATACTGTATATACTTTTTCTAAAAGATTTAATTATTCAACAACTGTAAGTAAACCTTTGGATTCTCAAAATAGTATGTGCAACCATACTTATAGAATTGACATATTGTACTTCATAATAAAATAATTTCATTATAAAAGTTCGACTCTTTAAAGCTTACGCCTCTTAGTGAGCTTTTGGCAAAAATACCTCATCGGTCCTGTGGCGCAATGGATAACGCGTCTGACTACGGATCAGAAGATTCCAGGTTCGACTCCTGGCAGGATCGGATTTTTTAACTTTTTAAAAAACTTTTTGAGATTTGTTCACTTACCACAGAACCTAAAGACTTTTTAAATATACAGTACATGTCGCAAGTTTATTGAAAGTGGATACGTGCAAAAAATGCTACTTATCTTTCTTGCATCAAGTATGATGCACTTGAATAGGGATTGTCCAGTAGCAGGAGAAGCAGCTCTCAATGACAAAGTGCAGTTGCTGAGGTGGCTAAAAGCAAATCAAGTGACGTCGTGTGGAGTTTGTGGATTATGTGTCGCTTTATGCTAAACAGCGGAAACGTCGAAAGTTTTGCAGAGTGGGGCGTAGAGCGAATGGGGAAATACCAGCTGTGTGTACAATTGCACGCCAAGGACATTTAAGGTGACATCGAAATGATTCCCTTTGAAGGACTTGTATGTGCTTGTGTGTGCAGCAAATGTGTTATTATCCACTGTGATTTGCATAATAGCAGAAAGTTGTAACCGAAAAATGTGCCACGCATTTGTGCTATTTGCAATTGTCTGCGAGGCACAGATGCAGCACGGAAATCGGATAAAAGAGTATTAGCTGGAGAAATCATATTTTTATGCACCTAGACTACCTAGTCTGTAAATTGTTTTTGTGGAAGTACGCAATCGAAGCATTTCTCTTTGGAATTGAAATGAAAAAGAAAAAAGTAACTTCCCATACCGGGAATCGAACCCGGGCCTTCTGGGTGAAAGCCAGATATCCTAGCCACTAGACCATATGGGAGGCGGTGATTGGTTAAGCAAATAACACCATATCTTCTTACCGTTACTTATAGCATCAGTATTTCAAATGCACAAAGTATTAACGTATTTGTGGCTGTTTATATTAATTTAACAAATTGCTTTACTCGCGTAAATAATAAACAAAAACAAATCTGTGCAAATAATACAAACGATAAAAATATATTCAGAGGGTCTTTTATTAAGTAAATATTTAAAAATAATCATCGTGTTTTAAATTGTTTACTTTATATCAAGATTTCTTATTTGGTTATAATTTGAATATTTTTCAAAATATTATAGATCAATAAAAACGGAGATTAAAAAATCGATCCTGCCAGGAGTCGAACCTGGAATCTTCTGATCCGTAGTCAGACGCGTTATCCATTGCGCCACAGGACCGCTTGATTATTCGGCATCAAAAACACACTTTGGCAAGCAGTTCGCTGGAATAGTTAGAGACACATAAACCAAATTGTTTGCAGACAGACATTCGATAAAAGTTGATGATCTATATACTTTTGCATAAAGTTTAGTTATATGAATGTGTATATAATAATCAACGTAAATAATTAAAATATTATTTATAATAATCGAGAAAAAATAATTGCGATCCTGCCAGGAGTCGAACCTGGAATCTTCTGATCCGTAGTCAGACGCGTTATCCATTGCGCCACAGGACCCGATTGTGAACAAGCAGCATAAAAGCCGTATTCAACTAAAGCAGAGCAAAATGTACATATTCAATTAAAGTAGCGCCACAAGCAGGCTAAACAAGCAGTGGCAACCAGAGGTGCCCACCTAGTGGGGCGCAATAAAAAATATATATGTATAATATATATATATATATATATAACATATTAACAAGTATGATGGGTAACTATATTAATTCGTTAGTCTTTTATTCATAACGCTCACATATTACTCTATGGCAAATACATGTTAATTAAACGCGCCCCCCATGGCAGCGCAGTTGCTCTCCCGCAGTCGCCACAGCGATGTCACGGCGTCTGCAGCAGAGGCCGCAACTGCTGGCGTCGACCACAAATATTCATTTCAGTCTCTCATTGGCGCTCACAGTGTGCAGTTCAGTGGCAACGAAAATGTGGATGTCGTATAACGGACGCTAAAAAGTTGTACGTGCGCGCGACGTAAGCAAGTGCGAAACATAAATAAAATAAAAGAAGAATCTCTGAGCAACAAAATATAAAAGAAATACATACATACAACAAATTGTTTATAATAAAAAGAGAAAAGTAGAAAAGAGTGCGTGTGTGTGTGTTTATACTGTGTATTGTGAGTGCGTGTGCAATAATAAATCAAAAATAATTAATGCAAATGCGAGTTACAAATATAACTAGATGCAGTTATTACGGTGAGTGCAGCTAAAATGCCGACAATACAGCCTCTGCCCCTCGCTGCCCCCCTTGCGCAGCTGTCAAAATGTATACGAGCTGCTACTGCTGCTGCTTCTTCTTTTTCAACTTATTCTGGCGCTTCTTTGCGTTTGCCTATTCTGTTTTTTCACATACTTTTTTGTTTTCATCGTCTGCTTCTGCCTCGGCCAAGCAGCGTTAAAGCCCAAAAACCAAATCAAATGAAACGAAACGAATGGAAACGAAATTGAACAAGAACAAGAATGAGCACGAGAAGCAAGGCGTAAAAGCGAAAAGCGAAAAGCTCAAAGATTGGGGCTAGGGCTAAAGCAGACGCCGTTCGTTGTTGTTGTTGTTTTTGCTGTTTGTTTAGCTGCCGTTTCTCCATTTACATATGTATGCACGCTGGGGTATGTGTGTATGTTATGATATGTTTATTTGGCTGTGTGTGTGTGTGTCTGTGGATCTCTCGCGCTGCCTGCGTCTATGAGACGGTCACGCTGTTGTTGCTTTGGCGCTAAGCGTGTGCATGTGTGTGTGCATGTATGAGTGCATGTTCATGTGTTTTTGTGTGTGTGTGTGTATGTGTGTTTGTAGGCCTCCACACTGGCAGCGAAAAGCGCCAAGCGACCTGCTGCCGCCGCTCTCCCTCTCTCTGTCACTCTTTTAGTCGGCATCTCCATCTTTGCTTCTCCGGCCGCCGTTAACTCGTTTGGCGACTTGTTTTGCCTGCTGCCGCACAACAAAACGCCGTAGCACATAAAAATAGTCTGTGGCAGAATTGTTGACTTCCCTTTTGACAAACGTGCCGGCCCACAAACGACGGCGTCCGCCGTCTGTACATATCTTGATGTCTAGCATTGTGTGCCGCCCCTTCCTCTTTCTCTCTCTCCATCCCTCCACTCTTCGCACACCTACATACCAAACACTACAAAATTGCCATAGTTTAAATTACATACACCTTACATACCAATGGATATACATATTTTTAAGCTTTATACTTCAACAGAAGAAAAGTTAAACAGAAAACTTCCTCCAACACATTTACATGCAGAACTCTTCCGGTGCTCGGTACAATAAAAACGGAATAAATAAAACAACAAAAAAAACTTGTTTTTCAAAGCATGAATACACTAGAGCAGCTTATACATATATGGACTTACATATATACAGATTTTTATTCATAAAACTTTTATATAGTTCTTCGATCCAAATTATAATCTCGTTGAAACCAAGCTTAACAAATTTCAATTCACTCAAAATCACTCAAAATTCTGTGGAAGAGAGCCAAAAAAAGAGCTAAAAACGTTTTTTTCTAAATAGTTATCTTAAGTTTTCAAAACTTTCATTATAGTTAAATATATTTTTTAATAAGTACAACCAGGGAAGGCAATAATAACAGAAGAATAGGACATGTTTGCGATATTTAAGTGTTTCAACTTCCACGGGGCAGATAAAAGGCAACTAAGTACTTCTAAAAACAACTTATTTTCCACTAGTTTTTTCACTAACAATTTTAACTTAGACCAAATCAGAATCCTTGTTATGTAAATCCCGCTAAAGAGGTTGTGAATGCCCCATGAGAGAAGTTTGCATTTTGTTGTGTTATGATTTTTTATATAAAATTGGGTCTACTTAAGTATCTATGTACGTGAATATATGTAAATATATGTCAAGTGGCATAACTTGTAGGGAAAAGTAGATTGATTGAATAGAGTAAATCCACAAGCATACACAGAAATACATACATTTAATGAAAAAATATGAGAATATAAAAAGTCAATGTGATCTCCGGCACTAGAAAATACAGATTTGCAATTCCGGTCAATTTCATTTAAAGAACTTGAAGAACACGCGAAATATATCTATTATACCAAACAGGCAAATGTTAAGTAACGCATTAAACAAGTTCTCTATACTGATATCTAATAATATTTAATATTAATTTTTTAACTTCTTAGTTCCTTAGTTTGTAATTGTGCCAAGAAAAGAAAATTTCGCGCTTAATATAAAAGATCCCTATTACAAGTCAATTTTATAATCTACGGCATCCCAAAGATGTCTTTTTTTAGAACATTTTTGCACTTTAAATGCTTTACACAAATTCGGTTTTCAGAATACTATTTTAAAGTGTCTTCTCCTTAAAGTTCTTAAGTATAAGATACCAAATTGTGTTTATCACACCGAAAGTTCTCTTAATGGACAGTTCTTTTGGGCATCTCCATAGGCCCTCCAATTTTTGTAGTGCTCTTCGCGGGGCGTAATCTATTTTGACCGAATTCAGACATTAATTTCATAGCCCAAAACTGTCTATCTTATTTACTTATCTCTCATTTATATAGAAATATGTGATAATAAGAAAACTACTTCTATATAATAGAAAATTTTATAATTTCCCGAAACAAAATAGAACAGTTTTCGAACTTTCATCTTTATTTATCTCTCATTTATATAGAAATAAGTGAAAAATGAAAACTATTTCAATATTATGTGCAAAATCTATATACATATATATCAAAGAAAACTTTACGATTTTTCGTAACAAGTTAGAAAAATATCGAGCTTTTTTTTAATCTATCTCTCATTTATATAGAAATATATGAACATATGTATGAAGACTACTTCCATATTATGTGAAATATGTATAGTCATCTACATATGTATACATATATATAGACATCCAAGAAACTTTTACGATTTCTTTAAAAAAAAATGGAAAAGTTGTTTAGCTTTATTTAAATCATATATCTCATTTATATAGAAATATGTAAAAGAAAAATATTTCAACCTTAGACTACCCAAGTACGTAAGATCTCAATGTATGTACATATATATGTGAGAAAAAAAAACTGGAAACGCAGGTGTCCGCTTGAAAGATTTTCACTGTACTGTCCTTCTTAGACTACCCAAGTATATAAGATATCAATGTATAACAGATAAACATGTTTATTTGAGCCCTATGTATCTGGAGAGCCCCATTAACCTGCTCAATCGAAAAACTTGTCTGGAGCATTAAAAGCGTCAACCATTTTGGGCTGTTGCAGCTTCGTTGAAAGCGAAAATAGCGCAACGGAGAGAAAATTGTGCTTGGTGCTTGGGCCAGAAGTTTGTCTGCTTTTGCGAATGTATCTTGCAGATACATATCTAAAATTGCCACAAAGCATGCAGTAAGAACCAGACACAAGTAACTAAATATAACACGCACACACACACACACACACACATAGGCACACGCACACACAGATCAGATACATACTAATGTGTTTGCGGGGCTGTGTCTAGGTTCCCGCTTGCAATTTCATTTTCATTGCAACTTCATGCCCCTGACATCGGGCCATGCCAGCCTGTCGGCTGTTCCTGCTTGCCGCCCGCCGCCAACGACCCTTACAGCAGTGCACACACACACACATACACTCTGCTGCTTTACACTGCTTTATTTTTGCGCCGTCTGCTAGTTTCTACGCTCATTCTTGTAAAACTGCAAGTTGCTGCCGTCGCGGCGCGTCGTCGGCCTATTGAAGCTCTCTGCCGCGGTCGCTGTCACTATTGCTGGCAGCAGCGCTGCCTGCGCCACTGCTAGTGCACTCGGCCATGCAGCTGCCTTTTTGTCTCTCTCTCTCTCTCTCGCGCTCTCTACCTCTGTTACTCCCTCTCTCGCTGCGGCTAACATCTCGGCTGCCAGCTGGCGAGTGCGCCTGTGTGCGAGCGAGCCAGCGCGCCCGCTGCTTGCCCTAACCTACACCACAGAAAATTTATTGCGTCGGCTCTACTTCCACACACTTCACTTCACTTGATTTCATATGCTTGTATCTACGAGGCATACATTTTTCAGTCTGCTTCTCGAAATTTTGCCGTTCTTGTTGTTTTTGCTATTGCTGCTCTTTTATTTTTATTTCTTCATTAGTTTTCGTTGGGTTTCATTGATGCAATTTTTGTTTATTTTCGTTTCTTGTATTTTTTTCTCTGAATTTTCAGCTAATTTTATGCCTCTATTTAAATTGCAGATTCATAATCAATCGATCCGGTCAATTAATTATACTATTAAAAGATCGTTTATAACACATTCTGGCGGGCAAGCACGCCATAATTCAGGCAGATATACTGAGGAGCTACCCTGAAATTAGCAGCCAGTCGTAAAGTATTCAAAGGTTTTTAGTGGTAAGTTTGCAATTTATTATCTTTTAGTGTGTCCAGATATTGAGTTTGGTTGCCTTTTGGCTTTGATCGTGCGGCCCATTAGCTCAGCTGGTTAGAGCGTCGTGCTAATAACGCGAAGGTCGCGGGTTCGATCCCCCCATGGGCCACAAGTTTTTTAATATTTTTTTTCAGAAAAGCTAATTTTTGTATTAATAAAGGTCCTACAAACAAGATGGCGTCAAGGTGGCCCATTAGCTCAGCTGGTTAGAGCGTCGTGCTAATAACGCGAAGGTCGCGGGTTCGATCCCCCCATGGGCCAGTATTCTATTATTTTTATTAATATTTATAAATAAAATACTAAAACTACGTATATTAAACAAAACGAACTAAATAAAAATTTTATTATTGTAAATTACACGTGAACGTATTACATACTAGACATACCATATAATGGGTGCATAATATTCATTGTATGTTCTAGTGGTATCATTTTTTTATAACTCATTCGTTGTTTTGGTTTCTTCAGTAAAGCACCAAAGAAGACGTTGACAACAAGGCCCATTAGCTCAGCTGGTTAGAGCGTCGTGCTAATAACGCGAAGGCCGCGGGTTCGATCCCCCCATGGGCCAGTGTATATTTTTTTCAATTTTTTCAAATTACCCACGCATAATATACTAAAAATCTCTGTGTGAAAACGACTGATCAATTTTGTTTTAGTGGTCTTCTAAGTAAAAGCTCTAAACTTCTTATTAATGTATTAAAACATTCGAAATTTATAATATAAAATTTGAAATTCTAATGGTAAATAAAATTTGCACAAATAATAAATAATGTTTTGATTATCTTTAAAGAAAATTCTTTTATAAATATAGATATCAAATTGAAAATGCTTGATATGTTTCCATTATACGTCTAAAATAAGATAAAAGTATAGACAACAAAATAAAAAGTAGTTTGGCCCATGGGGGGATCGAACCCGCGACCTTCGCGTTATTAGCACGACGCTCTAACCAGCTGAGCTAATGGGCCAGTTGGCATGGTGCGGCTAAATTTTGTACTTAAGTACAGGCAAACATATTTTAAAATATTTTCGAAAGTTTTTAATATTTCTATAATATACTGACACATATATTTTTATATATTCGAAAAACAAAATATTAACTGTCGCCCAACGTGGGGCTCGAACCCACGACCCTGAGATTAAGAGTCTCATGCTCTACCGACTGAGCTAGCCGGGCTTTGTGTATGTCGGTGGCCTACACGGCATGTCGCTATAAAGTGGGAGTTCTGCGTTTCGACGCTGTGTAGCATTAAAGCTGCCGACTTTATTTATAGGCGCGCTTGTCTGGAATTACACAAATAGATTGGAGTCCTGATTAGTTGGTTTCCCCTTCCCTGGTCGACCCTTCGACTCTAGTAAGTTCTGGCTTTGTAATTGTTTCCATGATGCCCCCCATTGTGCGGTGCATTTTACTGTTTCCTAATGGAAATGATGTATAAAATTACGCGCCTACCTCAATGCAGAATCTAAAACCAGACAAAGGAGGGGGTGCTGGCCTGCAGAGAGAGAGAGAGAGAAGGGGTAACAACACAAGCTGACAACCAGCCACCCCGTCGGCCAAGTAATTTGCTATAAAATATTAAAACGAAACAATGTGCGAAAGGAAACAAAACAAAATACATGCATGCATATAGAAAAAGAGACTCAGACATTGTGTGTGTGTTTGTGTGTAATGGAGGAGGGAGGGGGTGTGATGGGACCAAAAGAAACGAAGAGAGGCGGAGACAAACGGGACATGCGGACTTACAGTCAGACAGCAGGCAGATAATCAGCCTGGCAGACGGCTTTTCGGTTGCGCTACGTGCAGAAGTGTCGGGCATATGTGTTGGGCATGTAATCTAGCTGTAAATGTTTACATTAAAAATTTAATATAAATAAAGAAGAAAAATGTAATTGTGACAATAAAAACTGGATTATCAGGAAGAAAGCAATTGCATTTTTCAGTAAAAGATTAAATACTAGAAAAAAGAATTTCTTTTATGGGACATAAATGACTACTTAACAAAATTATATAAATAAATCTATTAGAAACATTATATTATATAAATTGATTATTTTTATATAAATTGACTTTAAGCTGTCAGAATTAAACCGAAAGACCAGGAATTTCTTCACACTATCTAATTCATTTGATCTACAATCATAAAATAAACAAAATATCTAAAAAATCTGAAGACCTTTCTGAATTTTCGTCTAGTTAGTTATCTATGTCGTTAACATGTTTCTCCCAGTAAATTTGTATGCTCTTCTATTTTCATTATAAAAGCGAAATAAAAGGGCAAAATGAAGCAAATGAAAGGCAAAGCTTATTTGTGCTGACAAATTGTTTGTGTTTATTGTCGTTGTCGGCTACTCAACGCGACCTCCGTCTAGACCTGACACGCATAATGCCATGCACAACATTCAAACATACGCATATGCTTACATAAATACTCTTCCTCTCTCCCTCTTTCTTTTTCCCTCTCTCTTTTATGACCATTTTCTCGTTTGTGTATGCCACAGGCTACAACAGCAGCGTCTGCGGCAGACAAGGCCAAATAAGTTAGGGTAGGTTCGCAAAATAAGCTAAACAGAAATGTGGTTTGATCAAAAACAAGCAACAAAAAGTAAAAAATAAATGTTTGGAAGTGAATATATAAAAAATAAAATAAAATTTGTTTTCGCCCAACGTGGGGCTCGAACCCACGACCCTGAGATTAAGAGTCTCATGCTCTACCGACTGAGCTAGCCGGGCTGTTGCTCAGGTGCTCAGATGATCAGAACATGTGAGCACATAAAATTCTATAAAAATTTGAATATGGAATGGAAATGAATAGAATAATTTGAATCGAAATGAAATAAAATAACTCAAATAAAACAAACAAATTTGGTTACCAAGTTTTTTTATTTAAAGTAAAACTAGAAAAATAAATAAAGTGGCATGGATCTTGGCTAAGAATTGTGTAGGTAAACAAAAAAAAACTGCATGGTTACTATAAAAATATATAAATGGAAGACAATAAACATTATGTTTGAATAAGTTGAGGAATTTACATTTATGTCACCTAAGTACACAGCGTAGTAACAAAAGTCACTGATAATACACCTGTACTCACGAAACCTTGAAAATTCTGAATAAACCTGATACATGTGTATCTACCAAATGCAATAAAAAGCAAAAAGTTTAAAGCTTATATTGAGACAGATATGACAGAAGTATTTCTGCAGGATCAGCGGCAAAAGCTTAAAAATGTTTCTAAGTATCTTCATAATTGGAAAACTAATTAATTTATTTAGTTAGTATAAAAAAAATCAAGAACCAAAAATATCGAGAACTGGAAATTATTTGGAATATCCTTAGCATAGAATTCAGCTACAAATAATTATCAGCAACGATCAACAAGCCCGGCTAGCTCAGTCGGTAGAGCATGAGACTCTTAATCTCAGGGTCGTGGGTTCGAGCCCCACGTTGGGCGAGTACATTTTTGATTATTTAATAATGGTATTTTTAATTTTATTTTTTAAATTTTTAATTGAACCTTGAGAGCAGAGCTAGTGCAGTTACAACAGCTCTGCATTGTTTTGTGAAAACAAAACTGATGTCTATATGGAGAGAAGAAAAATAATGCTTACAATATTGAAATGAAATGCGAGAATCAATGGCAAACGATTGATAGCCGGCGGGTAGATGATTGCATACACGGCCAAAATACAACACAGAAAGCAAATGTAAATAAAAGCACGTTTAGAAAATGCATAAATTTGAATGCAAAACATAGCTCTAAATAAACAGCAGCAGCAAATACGACAAACAACAACAATAACAAAATATACGAGAATGGTACAGTAAAAATATGAAAAACGTTTTTGTTTGTCATGCAAATAAAATGAAACGAGGCGAATGACTGAACTTAACCTTAAAACAACACACACACACACAAAATACCCTCATAAACAACACATACGTAATACGTATCATATATGTGTGCAAATAAATGTAGATTTCCTATATGGACTTGGACTTTTTTGTTTAGACAACGCAAATTGCGGTTAATGCACTGCAAATCAAAACCAAAAACTAAACGAATTCAACACACAAAACGCAAACATTGCAAAATTTTTGATGAATGCAAACTAAAGTGTTCGGGTCGCTTGAAGAGGGAAAAGTAAGCCATATAAATGTATAACTTTACAAACGCATGAGTTGTGGGCAGGGGGAAACAAAAATGTTATACAAACGTTTCTTATCTAAATAAAGCTGAAAATAATACTGCTTATACATATTTTGTAACATTAAATACTATACTTAACAACACTGGCAGCCAAATTCGCTTTTGGGAAATCCAAAGTCAACTCCCATATTGTCTAGTGGTTAGGATATCCGGCTCTCACCCGGAAGGCCCGGGTTCAATTCCCGGTATGGGAAACATAGCGAACTGTGTTAATCGGTTCTTTTTTTTTTATATTATATATTTTTATATCTAGCTATTTTTAACTTCATAAATATTGAAGTACAATTTTATTTTAGTCCATGCAGCTGCTTATGCAAGGCATAAACTTGACATGCGCATCTCCAGAGCTCCCTCAAGTTCCGCTGCATCTGTTAACGCCCCATTTTGTGCGTTCCCCTTGCTGTATTTAATCGCAATTCCCCCCCTTTTTTTCGCGCGTGACGAAATGCCTTTGAGCAATTGCAAAAGTTGTTGTATGGGCGATCGAGCGATAAGTCTGGCATTATGTCTGGAGCCAGTTTCAAGTGCTTAAACTGGTCAAGAGGCATGAAAAAAAGAAAAAACTGGCTCCACAACTTGCTGCACAGCCGAAACAGTAAACTGTGCAAAAGGGCCGACCGACGAGTTTTTTATATAAATGACCTTGGCGAGTTCGTTACAGCGTCTGATCGGGCAAAAGTTTGTAAAATGAAAAGGCAAAAAAGTAGAAATCGCCCCCGGGTGGACTCGAACCACCAACCTTTCGGTTAACAGCCGAACGCGCTAACCGATTGCGCCACGGAGGCGGTTGAAAACGGGGCGATTATATACTAAACATAGACTTGTAAATATTACATTTATTTTTATTGTAAAAGATTAAGCTGATAAGATTTGTAAGTCGAACTTACAAGCATATATATCTCGTCTAAAATTTATGAATAACATAGACTATTCACATATGCATAATTTAAAATAGCTGTTTTTCTTAAATGTAGCTTAAAAACGTCGAATATTTAACATTAAAATATAAATATTCATGCATTTATATTTTTAAAAAATAAAAACCAATTCAAAAAAGAAGAAAAAAACAACGATCCTGCCAGGAGTCGAACCTGGAATCTTCTGATCCGTAGTCAGACGCGTTATCCATTGCGCCACAGGACCGACTGATCGAATACGATTCTAATGTGCTTTAGACTAATTGCTTAGAAATGTTCTCAGTTTTTGCGTTTTGTTTGCTTTTGTTCGAGTTTAAGTTCGTTTCCAACTGCTTTTGTTTGTTTTTATCTCTTTTATTGAGTTTTTTTTTTACTATTTACATATAAGATACTTTTACACTACGATAATTTATGCAAGTTCAGTAATTTTAGCGAGGTATTGACGTCATTAGCAGAGGCGCCGACAAAGTTGAAGCCGCGTTTCTTTTAGTTTAACAAATATACTATAACAAAACTTAAGAAAAACAAGTTTTTAATGGTAAATGTATATATATTTATATACAGCTAAAAGGGTCTTAAATAATAGTTACATTCATATATTTCAATGTATGTATATATACATACATATATTTCAATGTATTTTAATATATTTTTATTTCCTTATTTTTGCAGTTGAATTAAATGTTGAACAACTTGAAAGACAACGCAGCTTTGATTCCGAGGTGAGTAAAAGAATAAATAGACTTGGTTTAACATAAATAAAAAGTTTATAATTAATGTGGAAACGCGCTCTTTAAAGTAAAATCTGGTTATGGCAAATGTGCTGATAAATATAGATTATATTTGTTAACATTGTAATTCGATGCATGTGATTTATTGTGCAGGGCATGTATTATGAGCAGCTCTCCGTTTAATTTAGATATTGTGTTCGTTAAGTGTTATTCACAGTTTATTTTCGAATTCTAAAACCAACAATTTGCACAGTTCTTATGTGCATATATTGCGTGCTACAGCTGTTTATTCACACAACTCTCTAACCCGCCTCAGGGCCTAAGCCACGCCAGCTCTCAACTCCTTTGTGCCACTTCAAATTTCAGGCGCTATTATGCGGTGCCCCTGTCTTGGCCATAAAATATGCAAAAACTTTTCAGCACGTCATTTGATAACATGCTAACTGGCCGTACCTAGAGGGAAAGAGGGGGCGAGCTGGGTGGAACTTTGAAAAGGAAATTTGCAACCGCAAGCCCGACACTTGGCGGCCAGAAAACGTTTTACGTTTTCATAATGCACGAGTGAAATTTATTGATTTCTTTTTTCTTTCAATTCCATTTAAAAGGCGCGTCGAGAACCGTGTCCTTGCCTACCAAAAGTCGCCGACATGGCGGCTGCTTATCGCCAGGTGGAAGACCTTTCCATTTCACATTGGTTCTGGCCATGTTTCTGGTTCAAACTCTTTGTCTCTGTCTCTGTCTTCGTCTCGGTTGCAGTGGTCATTGTCAACGCCCAAGCAAGCAGCACTGAATGCCCATTAAAATGTGTAGAACGGGTATACAATAGTTGAACCTACATATGTAACAGGTGGTAGCATATATTGTAGGATTTTTACACAGTTATGCATTAAATTGAAATTGAATATAGTTTATATATAGTTCAGATATCAAGTTATATAGTTCAAGTTCACGAGGTATTCGTCGAGGATCATATGTGTCATTATTTATTAAAAATGCATATAAATATAATTATATTCTCTGGATTATATCATTCAATCAATATTATGCATCGCATTAAAACAACGTTAATGCTGCTTTGCCATGAATTGGTCGGGACTTTCTGTTATATTCCATACATTCTATATATGCAGTCATTTGCTAACACTGTCGTAAGAATTCACTATTGATTAATCCCTGGTTACAGCTTGGGAACACCGCGTGTTGTTGGCATTGGTTGACAACCATATTCCTTCTCTTTTACTATAGAAGAATTTTTTTTCTTTAGTTTATAGTGTCTGTTTAAAATCAATTTAATTATCTCTCAGCTCTTCAATCTCATTCATTTAAATAACCTGATTCGCCCTTTTCTCTAATTGATTTTTCCATAGACATAATTTATTTATATTATAATGTTAGGATTTATGTATAAAGTTATCATCCTGCCCAAAACGTAGTATTCTTAATCAATGATAATCGATCTAATAGTTCCTGACAGACCTTAAAATCTTACTATTTGATACTACATGATATTATTTGAGAAAAATTTATAAATTTTTTATGAAGCTCAAATAAATTATGCATTACTTCTGTTAACACATTGTTGAACTAGCTAAAAATGTTGACAGTTAACTTTATTTTGTCTGTTTTTTTGTTTGTTTTTATTTTAGTATATTCTGTTTAAATAATTACCTCAAAACGTTTACAGGGTATCTTCATGTCATGAACTTTTACTTTCACAAAACTCTTACTACTCGCAGTTTTCTTTGCATTTTCACTTAACTTTTTGTTTTTTGCTTCGCTGGGTTCTGACATTCTGTCGGGCGCCCATGTGGCCCACAAATTGGCGCATTGTTTGGGTCAAGGATGTGCAGCATGGGGCTGCATGGAGACAACATGCTGTGCCGCTTGAATGCGGACGGGGCTGGGCGGGGAAAGCTGCGCCTTGCACATTTTGACGGCACTTGACTTGAAAGCTTTGAACTTTTAACAGGCGTGTGAACACAGTGCAGCCTTCTTTGCCCCCTTGCCCCCTCACCCTATGCGATGGGGTCAGTTGGGGTTCACACTTTGAGTGCGCCATCAAAAATTGGAGGAATTTGCAAATTTCTGTGTGTGCAGCATGCATAAAACATGAAGAAATGTCTGCCGGAAAAATGTCAATAAATGGTAATCAGAAGGGTCTGAGGGGGGCGGGGCGCTCATGATAATCCCCTGACAATAGCTAACAGGTAGCTTTTCGATGGATATTACAAGCAAAAGCGCAATATTTGGGAATGTGAAATAATAAATATGCAAATCACGTTTGCTCTTTAATCTAATTTTGATAGAAACTAAAAGAATTTAATTTCTTTAAAATTTGTGGAGTATACTTTTGGAATTATATTTTAAGTTCTAACTATTTATAGGCCTCTGAACTTTAATTAACTAGATTAAAATATTAGATATTAGTCGCTTTGATCAAACATTCTGAATTTATGAGCTCGAATCAATTATATATTATTGTCTTGTAAGACCTTAATTTTTGTTAGACTCGTGGTGAGAATCTTAAAGCCGAAAAATAAACTTTCGTTCATTAAACATTTGAACCGCATTTTCCATCCAAGAGCTGTAAACTTTGCGAATGAACAAAGATCCGCTGAGTAAATATACATTTTTCTAAAAACGTTATTCACAATTTTATCACACTCACGGGTAGAATTTCCCAAATACATAATATAACATAACATAACATAACAAATCCATATAGCTTTTGAGCTCTTACGGTCAATCAGTCAGTTAGTCAGTCAGTCATTCAGTCATTTAGTACAAACATTTTTATATATAGAAACTATATGAAATATATGAAAATCACATTCGTATAAATTATATTTGTGGTAAAAAGGGCTTTCGGTTTCCGTAAACTTCTACACACTATCAATTAAATCAGTCAATCAATCCATCAATCAATTAAATTCTATATATTATATTCTTTTCTATATACATACACAACATATATGTATATATATAAATATATGCTCTGTAGAAGAGACATCTTGTTTATGAATGAAAATCATCGAAGCGTAGAAATTCCGATGCGTTCTCTTTTGTGAGTGAGCACTGTAATTCTCTTCTGTGGAATGCAACACTATAAAAAAAACTGTAACTCTATCGATCTAATTTTATATTATTTGGCAAACTTCTTCGGCATTTGGAGCAAAGCCACCCCACCCCCTCTCTATTAAACCCCCAAACTCATTGCCAGCTAAAAAAAAATTTTAAAAAATTAAAAAAAGAAAATGTGACCTACCTGTGTCATTTACACAGGTGTAAATGGCATGCACGACATTTCACATAGCATGCTGGCTGCTCAGCCGCCCCCCCTCCACATTGCCGTGCAACTGCCACTCGTCGTCACATGATGCATCCGCTGACATAGCAAAACCCGCTGCTGCAGCCGCCACCGCCATTACTCCGCCCCGCTTCACTTCCGCTTGTACAAGGCCCTAAAACAAAAAAAACCAAGAACAACAACAACAACAACAACAAAATACTTAAACGAGAGTGAATGCAATTTTGCTGCTGCCGCTGCTGCGTCGCTGCCGCCAGAGCCAAAAATAAACATGCAACGTTAAATAGGCCGCCCCAAACTACTCGCTAGTTGTAGTTGTAGTTGTAGCTGACGGCGCTCTCAGCCTATGAGCGCGCTCTCTACGCGCTCTGGCTCCGCTTTGCTGTAATTTACGTCATGTACGGGGCCAGCATATAGCTCGCTTACGCTCACGCTCTCGCTCTCTCTCTCTTGCACTCTACATTGCCTTTTGGGCATTGCACATTGGGACGAGCCCGTTTGCGTAGGTATGTGTGTTTGGCGCTTGCAACACTATTACAAATCTTATTGTTGCTTTTTTCTGCCATGCTTGAGTGCTTGGCCATTTTTGCGCTCGCTCTCACTCTCCTAGCTATGGCTAGCCGCTTGTCCATTGTAAAATGCTGTAAGTTGCATGCGCTGCTCGCCGCTCACATTTGCATGTGCATGTGCGTATGTGTGTGTGTGTTTGTTTCGAGTGTAAAATTATTCATTTTTTCTAAGGTTCAGTCGCAGAGTTGAAGGTCAGTTGATGTTTTATGTCATTCAACTTGCCGTCGTCGTTGTCGTCGCCGTTTTCGCTGTTGTTGTTGTCGCTGCTTTTACATTTTCGTCATTGCTGCGCTTTGCGCTTTTTTTTTTATTGCCTTTGTTGTTTCTGTTGCCACTGTTTATAAATGTTTGCCGCGACTCGCTTGCGTGTTGAGCCATTCAATTGGGGCGTGTTGCCTGGTATCCACTACCATTCCCATAGCCTTTCCCTAAAGCGAACCCAAATGCATTCTTCTGTTTAGCCTTCGCGAAATGTTATATCAGCCTTAAGTCATTACAAATGTCCTGAAAGTAAGCAGGCAGCGGTTGAATATTTGCAGCAAGAAAATTAAAATTACAAATCGAAAATTTGACTTTAATAAAATTTTTAATAGTTGGAAAAACTTCGGGAAAGCTAACGCGAAAGCTGAGCTTATAGCAAAATATTAGAATTCAATAGCAGTTTAAATAAAGTGAGAATTATTTAATGACAATAATCTTTGAAAACAAAAACTGAAAATTTCGCTAACTATTAACTCAAATGGAAATGTTGCCTGCTCTATAAATGCAAAAACTTTTTCTTTTCTCACTTTTTCACAAGCCAAAATCTAACCTATGATTGTTTTTGGTTCTTTCCCGCAAATAACCTTTGGCATACTGTTGTGAACTTTAGTTTGTGCATTTTTGCCTAACACACAGGGTCGTTTAGTTGGTTTGGCTCTGGCGCTTTGTTGGATTCCCCTTGGGTAATAGGTTCAATAGACGATTATTGCAGGCCAGTTGTGGGTGTGAGTAAGTGAGGTTAAGTGCGTTCTGCTTGCATGCAACCAAGAAAGTCACGTAAATGCAATAAACAACAGTTAGGCCACATCATGTATAACAAAACTGAACTTTCTATGACGATCCTGATGATTCCATCATCGGCTCAAACACCTGACCTTTTCACTTGACTGAAGCGCTGAAAATAAAGTTTAAAAATTGCCAAATTCCCACGAAATGAAGAAAACAATAGCAACACACCAACAACAACAACAACAACAACAACAGCAACAGCAACAGAAACAACAAAAACACGTGTGCGTCTTATTGTCCGTCATAGTCTTAATGCACTCTGCGTGTGAGCAGTCCAGACAGACAGACAGAAAAGAGCAGCTAAGCAGCCAAAGCGAGCAAAAATATACATGCACACATACATACTAATGTATATATATGTATGCATGCACATACATACACACATAAATTCCATTAAAGAAAAAAAGAAGCATTAAAATCAAAAGTCACATAGCAGCGACGTTGCGCCGACGCCGACAGCGAAATCAACACAAAAAGTGTGTTACAAAGTCAAAAGCACAACAACAATAAGCAACAACAAGTAGAGCTTAAAAACCACAACGAAAAAGAAACCAAGAATACCACCAGCAACAACAACTGCACACATCCAAAAGCGGCAGCAGCAGCAGCAGCAGCGGCAGCGGCAGTAGCAGCAATAACCAGCCAGTCAGGCACACACAATGAGCCCAAGTCGAAAACCAGTTTTTTGAAAAGTTCCGCACGCTGGCCCCAAAGTTGTATCTGTATGTGTGCACACTGGGCCGCAAATAATTTTATGCAGTATCAAAACACATTGTCTATCGGTAGCTGATTAAAACGGCTTGTCACTGGATTTAGTTCGCATATAAAATAAAAAATTAAATCATCATTAAATCTCCTAAAATAATCTAATATAACATATACAATTTTGAATTTCCTTAACGCACGCCCCATACCACAGTGCATATAGATGTCAGCCGAATGCTGCCGCTTTGGCTACTGCACGTCTGTGTTGTTGCTGTTGTTGTTTTTAGTGTTGCTGTTCGCGCGAAAGTTGAGCGCAGCTTAGGCAAAGGCAGCGTCAAAGCATTGCCAAAGCAGAAAAAATGAGAAGCGCGCATGCGCCGCAAGCAAAAGCAACACAGCAATAACAATTGCAAGCGCTCCACACTCGCCCCCGCAATCGCAAAAGAGACACGACAACTGAGAGCGAGAGAGCACACCAAGAGCGCCAAGAGAGCATCGCGCCCGTTTTGGTACGACAGCAACGCAGCAGCAGCAGCAGCAACGGGCTAACGGCAACGGCGGCCTTTTAGTTTTAGTTTTTATGTGCGGCTCTCGTGTAATAAAAATTACATTGCGCGTCGTTTATGTCGCTGAAAAAGTGCAGAAAATAAAGAGGAAAGAAATAGAAACAAATTTGTGCTAGAAATACCAGCATAAAAAAACGTAAAGTGAAACAAATTTTTGTTTAATTAAAACAACTCGCATACCCTGCGCCTTGTCTCTGTGTGCGTGCGTGTTTACGTGCATGTGAATTTGTTATTGTTGTGTGTGTTTGTGTGTTCAATTTGCTGGTGAAAAGTTCTGTGTACGCTGCTGTAAGAATGACAACAATAACAACAGCGATAACATTTGGAAGTAATGTTAGTTACAATATGCACACAGATGCATTTAAATATGTATGTAAACTTCTAAGCAACTGCAAAAACTGTGCCGTGCCAAGTGTTATTGCTTTTGTTGTTGCTGCTGCTGCTGCGGCTGACGAGCGACGGTGCCCTCCCTTTCCCAACCATATGACAATTCCATGCATTTGTTGGCGCTTGTTTACTCTGAGAGAGCGCCACCAACTAAAAGCTGAGAGCACAACTGAGTGCAGCAGAAGCTGTTGTTGTCGATGCTGCTGCTGGTGCTGCTTGTGCTGCTTCTGCCAGCGAGTGACGTTACCTTTCTCCCTTTTTGCCACCCACACGTCAGTCTCATGCAGTCGCTGGCGCTTGTTTACTCGTGCGTTCTCCTTAGCATGAAAATTGAGAGCGGAAAGAGAGAGGCTGCAGTGTGTGCGTTTTGTTGTTGTTGTCATTCTTATTATGGCTGGCGCGTGTAATGTTTAACAAATAACAGAAATAGCATTTTAATGCAAAAATTAACGGGCACATTGAACAAATTTCATTCAAACATTTTGCTGTGCTGTGTGTTTTTCTTCTTTTTTTTCGGCTTTTTTGTCGCCTGCCAATAAATTTGCTAAAAATGCACGTGTCTATCTCTGGAGCAGGGGCTGTGAACGGGGGGCGGTCAGTCGGCGTTGCCATTTGAGTAAGACCCAATTGCATAGTCAGCCCCATTCTGCCGCAAACATGCTCCCGTTGCCACTTTGTCGCTCTCTCGCGCTCTCTGTCTCTCTCTCTCTCTCTCTCTGTCTCTCTCTCTCTCTGAAGCAAAGTGCAATGGCGCACAGTGTGTCAAATGTCATTTTTATGATGATTATTTAAAATTAAATAGACATTAAAGTGTCAAAAAATGTATTTGATTGATTGATTGAGCGAATGTTGTTGCAATTTATTTACAGATTTGTTTTTGTGAACGGATAATCAAGAAAAAGTAAACAAAGTGAGAAAATAAAACAAACACATTGGAAACAAATTTTGGATTTAATGACAAACTCAACTGCATGCAAAATTGGTAAGTAATTAATGAGAAATTCAATTTAATGACAATATGAGTGTACAAATTGGAATTGTGAGCGTTTTCCAATTATATTTTGCTTTGTGTAATTTGTGAAAATTGTACTGACAAGCACCTGAAATGTCAGCCAAAATGAGCTTTACTTGAAAGTTACTTGCACCGATGTTAATTGGTAATTTAAATTCAGCTTACGGCGAAGAAAAATACATTTTGCTTAGCAATTGCAGCTACAATTCATTGCACCCCGTTGAAAAAAATGTAGAAAAAGAGTAGTTAAATAAGAAAAGAAGTGGAAAACTGAGAAACTCTTTCGCTAATTGTAATGCACATACATAAATTGCAGCTGTTTTGCGGCGCGCCAATTGGCAATGCAGATGAGTTTTGAGTCGTCCTCTTCTTATACATACATATATATTTTTCCCTCGTTTTTCACTAAAAAATAAATAAAAACAACAAAAATTTTCGCAGCGGAAATGCATCGTTTATGGCGTCAGTCCATCATCGGTCAGTCAGACAGTCAGTCAGTCAAGTTTTCAGACAGTTGGTTTAGTCATACATATATACATATATGCTCATACCCCATGTTGCCCGATTTGGCGGCATCTTTCTCAAATGAGTGCAAGTGCAACATGTCAGCGACAAAAGGCGAATAAACTTTGCCAATTGTAATAAAAAAAAAACACAGCAAGAAAAAACAGCTAGAAAAAATAAATTCTATTTCCATCTGTGTGTCGAATAAATAGATTGCAATCTGCCAATTTTGTATGCCTTACATATACCAATAGGTGTTCTGTAGGGTATATTGAACTAGGGACAAAGTGTGTAACAGCTGGCTAACATATTTATGTTTTTCTCTAGACATCGCGAAGAATGTAGAAATTCTCTTCTTCTTTATTGGAATTCAAATAGTCTATAAAAACATTTATGTATATAGAATATGTGAATAATATTGTATATACCAAAAGGTTTTTATAGAACTCGGGACAAAGTGTGTAACAGTTTGCACATAACTATTTTAAGTCCATAAGGTCCATAAGTCTATATTTTTTTCTATACATAGCGATAAGTGTGTAACAAATAAATATTCTTTTATGTTGGTATTCAGATACTCTATAATTTAAATATAATTATATTTCTAAATATGAAGCTGTTTGTCCTGACTGACTGATTTGTGATCCCAAACAGCCCAAAACGTAAGAGCTAGGAAGCTGAAATTTTGTACCGGTAGTTACCTTATGTGATGAACGTGCATGTTAAGACGGGATTTCGAGAAAATCCACCCGCATATGTGGAAAAAGCGCGAAAAACCTTTGTAGCGGGCAATACCCGCTAGTATAATAAATATATGCAATTCTAGTTTCTCTATACTTTATAGTAAAATAATTCAAATATATTTTTAGACCAAAATATATTTCACTTTTATTTTGGTTTGGCTTGTGCGTATAAATATATAGCCTGACTGTTTCGAGAATTTTATAACTTTTTACGATGCCACAACACGACTTTTACTTCTTTTATACTTTTACAAATTTTATTTTAAATGGAAATAAATGTAAAAATGCAAATAAAACAAGTCTTGTCTATACAAAATAAGCGGTAACTCTTAGTCGAGCTTTTAACCTTGCTCTATTTATAGAAAAGTCCGCCTAGAAAAATGCTTTTTCCATTTGTGCAGCTTGATTGAATTTCGTGCGTTGGTCACAAGTGTAATAAACATATTATTGCACATGTTCGTCCACCCCTCGCCCCTCGCACCACGCCCCTACCCGCAAGCAAATCGATGTGGGTTTGGTTGCGGGTGAGTCCTTACATAAGCAGAGCTATAAAGAAATTGGGTCAACGTCGGCGTGAGCGACCTTATCAAGGATTCTGGGTCAATATGCTTACGCCACGCACAGCTGCGACTGCGTGTGTGTGTCTGTGTGTGTTGTGTGTGCGTGTGTGTGCGTGTGTGTATCTAGCTAATTGTATGCGTGCGGGCATGTGAGCTATTAGGAGGCGTGGTCGTGCATTCTCTTGAGAATATAATCTGCCGGACGACGCTGCAAACAAAGACAAAGGGCAAGCTTTTAGACAAGAGACGTTGCTGTGTTGGTGTGTGGGCGGGGGTAGGGGTGGGGTAGGTGCTGCACGACTGTGGGGTGGTGCTTGGGCGCATGCAGTTTGCAATTATGACGAGTACTTAAGGTGCATTTAACTGCTGCATTGACCTCGTTTAGCGTCTGGTAATTGACATCTGGTCATGCGAACTAAACAAATGCAAAAATAGAAAGAAAAATATAAAAAGTTAAAATGATAAAATGATAAAAGTTAAATTAAAATTAAAAAAATAAAAATAAGATGATTATAAGTATAGTACATAATAAAAAATAAGAAAATTAAAGTAATAATAATAAATAATACAACAAAATTAAATAAAAAGAAAAATTGAGAAAATACAAATGAATAATACAAAATAACAAAAATAAAATAATAATATTAAAATAAAAATAATAAATAATACAAAATAAGAATAGGATAAAATTTAAATTTAAAATGACAATAAATAATAAGAAAAATGTATTATTAGATTTTAAATGCATATTTACTGAAAAATAATTATATGCAAATAATAAAATCTAAAAAAAAAATCAAAAAGTTGTTCCGCCCCCGGGTGGACTCGAACCACCAACCTTTCGGTTAACAGCCGAACGCGCTAACCGATTGCGCCACGGAGGCAGTTGTCATTTAACCGGCCAAAGTTGATTTTAGTAAGCAGTGCAAAGATACATTCAAAGCAGTTCAACCAACAAAAGCTCTTTTTCTTTTGTATAGCCTTGTCTGTGATTTTGCTTTCAAGTAGGAAACAATTTCGCGGAGTTTCCGCAGCCTCCGTGGCGCAATCGGTTAGCGCGTTCGGCTGTTAACCGAAAGGTTGGTGGTTCGAGTCCACCCGGGGGCGATTGAATTTTTTATTTTTCTTTTTATATATATAATTTGAATTGTTTATATAACATGATTTTTATTTTTTCTCATTGCAGCGGCACAACACCTGACAAACTATGTAAAATAAAATGCTTATGGGCAACATGAAGGCGTGGCCATGTTGTCAAACGCCACTGCAACAGCAACAAGAACAACAACAGCAATTTACAGCTTTTAAGAATTACGTGCATGCAACATGTACCGTTTGAATGCCACACAACAGCAGCAGCAGCAACAACAGCAACAAAACCAACAACAACAAAAGCAGCCGCAGCCACAACAACAAACCAAACAAAAGCAATCAACAATACCCAGTCACATATTGTTGCAGCAACAATTAGCTGCTGCCGCTGCCGCCGCCGCTGGCGCTGGCAACAGCAACAACAATGCCGCCGCTGTTGCCTTGACCTTTCAAGTGGCCAATGCAAATGGCGGTGCAGCAGCAACAACTGCAATCAGTGTTGAGGATAAATTAAAGCTATTGACAACTGCCACGGCGACGCCAGCGCCGACGCCAACGCCGACGTTAACGCCGACGTCAACGCCAACGCCCGCTACAACAATTAAAACCGAACCCATGCCTGACGTCATCGCCTTGACCACCGGCAACAACAACAACAGCAATACCAATAGCAATAGCAGCAGCGCCGCCAACACCGGCAGCGGCATTGCCTCAACGTCAGCCGCAGCCGCAGCTGCCGCTGCTGCAGCTGCCGCGGCAGCAGCAGCATCTTCTAATGGGCATTTAGTTTTTGTGCCCAACAAACGCGCGCGTCTCGATGCGTAAGTTCTGCCTGAGCTTTCACATTTCCCTCTCAACTTACACTCTCTCTCTCTCTTTCTCCTGTTCCCATTCACATTGCAGGCCCGAGGATTGGATGTCGACGCCAAGTCCAGGCAGCGTTCCCAGCTCAGCGCCGCCGCTGTCGCCGTCGCCCGGGTCTCAAAATCACAGCTACAACATGTCCAACGGTTATGCATCGCCCATGTCAGCTGGCAGCTACGATCCATACAGTCCCAATGGCAAAACAGGTGAGTGTGCGCGAGCGAGATAGATAGATATGCGTAAAAATGAAGCTTTCACTGGGCTGTCAAACAGCGCCATCTAGTGCTCGTTTTGTGTTTAAACAAATTGATACTGTTGGCATATAGATGGCGCGGTAGTTACTGCTTTCACTGGAACACATGTGTTTTTAAAAGCACAACCAAAAGCTTTTTAGTTATGTTGTTGAAAATTACAATTAAGAAAGAAAAAGAGAAACAATTTAGTGAAATTTTTTTTGTTAATTTTTTTATATGCTTGAATATGTATAAATATGTTTATTTCAAAGGTGAATTAGGTTAGCCAGTAACTAGAGGTTAGGTTTGTTTTTATAAATGGGGCTTAGACACCTAGAAGAAATTTCTTTTTATCCTAAGAAAACTGAAATTTTATTTACTTTAACTTGCATTAAGCTGTAATCGGTCTAATTCAGTTCAGTTTCAATACGCTAAATTGTTCTCCATTCTGTTATGCCACACTTTTTGTGAATTGAACAAAAATTCACAATTTCCTATTCCCGAGTATCAGATACATATTCACGCATTAGCCAGTCGACTCTCGCCAACGACCATACTACGCTGAATACATCGGTTCTCGTCCGATCACCGAAATTAAGCAGCGTCGGGCGCGGTTAGTACTTAGATGGGGGACCGCTTGGGAACACCGCGTGTTGTTGGCATCGGTTGACAAACTTTTTGTTTTATTTTTATTTAAATATCTTTCAATTGTTTTTTTTTTTAAACTAAAAATTACATCATTTTTACGATTTTTATATTAACTTAAATAGTTTCTTAATTATTTGAATTTCGTTTTCTCTTTAATCAGTGTATACCCATTTCCATTTTTAAAATATTTTTTTATACATTTTCTTTAAAAATATTTTTTAATTGTTTTTTTTTGTAATTATAACATTATTTTTTTTTTCATTTTTTATATTATATTATATTTAATAGTTTCATTTTAGTTATTTATTTTTTTAAATTTAAAATCTTGTTTTCTCTTTAGTAATTGTTTATACTTTTGTATTGTTTTATTTATTTTATTTAACATTAATTCATAAAAAAATTTTTTTTAAGTTTATACTTAATTTAATGCTGGTTTTGGCGACGATTTCACTTTATAAATATATTGTCATATTGTTAACTACATAATTTTTTTATTTGTATATTTGCATTTTAATTTTTGTTTTCTCTTTAATTAGTGCATTTCCTCTTCTATTTTATTTCTTTCATTTATTTTGTTCGTTACTTTACGTTCTTATGTTCTAGTAATTTTTTAATATCTAAACTTGTCTTCTTTTAATTTCTTTTCGCTTTTTTACAAAATTTTTTTGAATTGTTTACTTACACTTTTACTTGCACATAAAATTTAGAGCTTTAACGTTTTTTATATATTGTTAACAATATTTAGACAAACAAATTTCCTCTCTCGGATACAAGCTTACGCCCATGCTCAAAGTTTATTAACCTGCTGTGTCTGGCTATAAGTAGATGTGTATTTGCTTAGAACAAGTTAAAATGTGGCTTAAAACAGGACAAGGAAAAACGTTAACATGGCAAAGCTAAATAGAGACCCAAAAGTGAATTAGACACGAACTCACACACACACACAATCACACTCCTACACACTTATATGGATACTCATTGAGAACGTGCCTTTCACCTTTCACGTGAGAACGTGGCCATTTTCAAGGTCGCGCATGGCAGACGGCAAATGAAAGCCAAAAGAGCTCAGCTCCCACGGCAAGAGGGCTGTCAGCTAGGGGGAGAGGGGGAGAGGGGACGGATGAGTATGATGAGCCAAAAGTAAGCCTGAAAATTACCAAAACGCGCGCAGACAACGCAGACAAACGAAAAGAGGGCAATGGGGGACCTTGAGGGGCACTGCGAGTGGGTGGCTGGCGGGTGGTGGGTGGTGGGTGGTGTCTGTGCGTTCTGTCTGACTGACAATGCCAATAAAGTTGAAAGTTGAAGGTCACCAGACGGCGTCGACGTCGTTTTTTGGCATCGTCGCCAAGTTGAAGGCTAAACGCAGACAATAAACTTTGAGGTAGCACCCACAAAGTCCGCCCGCCCCTCAAACGCAACCGCAACGCGCCAACGCCAGACGTGCTAGACACCCCCCCCCCCCCCCATCCTACACCCTCAACCCTCCCTTTAAGGCAACGCCCTGCGCAGCTTCGTGCAATGTGCACCCAGTCCTATTTCGAGCTGGCAATTTCAGTTCTGGCCGTAAAAGTTGTAGGGAGTCCTTTTTATGGCCAACAAAGCGAAAGCCGAAAGCGTCTACGGCCCGAAAATTATCGATTGCCGAAACGGTTGCCTCGCCCCCGCCCTCCCCCACTTCTTCTTCTTGCATTGTGCGTGTGCTTTTTGAACCCGAAAAAAAAAGAAGCAGAAAACTCGTCTCGCTTTCACTCGACTCTGGATGTGTCTGGCGGTGCGCGGCGGAGGCGGCGGCGGCGCTGCCAAAGCGAACGACCCACAAAAAGCGCACAGGACACGCGAGGAGCTGCCGTGGGGGGGCGGGGCTTTTGAGGGGGTGGGGCAGCTGCCAAACCAAACCCGAGCAGCTGTAAGGAAAGCGCGTAATGTAATGAAATCATGCCAAGGCTGTTGCGCGGCATGGCAGCAAAGCCAGACAAGGACGCAGCAAAAAGGACGTGCGGCAGGACCAAGCGAGGCACTTAAAAGGAGTGGCAAGAGAAGGGGGGCGGGGGTGTTGGGGCGCTGGAGCATTAATGTGCCCAAAATGTGCCACTGGGAACGATGAGCAGCTCCAGACAGCGGCAGAGTGGGACACACGTCATGCACAGCATATACCCTTATACAGAGTATTTTAAATGCGTGGCTAACTATGTGACATACAGCTAATTCGTAGTTAAAATAAGTGTGCATAGCATAGAACTGCTTCAACCCAATATGCTGACTGTAAAGACTAGGGTTCAAGGCCTGCTTTGTTTTTTATTTCTATTTTTTTTTCTTATTCTTGTTTGTTTATTTATTCAATAATTTTAATATTTTTCTATAATTTCCAATTGTGTCTATAATTTCTATAACAAAAATTCCATTTTTAGTCTGAAATTGTCTGAAAATATTGTAACAAGTAAATATTTTCTCAAAGAAAATACGGGCTTCATTTGAGCTGCATCCAAAATTTGGCAGCTAACAAAGACGGTTAGATTAATCCAATAGTTGAGCCCAAGTTCTTAATACTTTGTGGAACGATACTATTTTTGTTTATTTTTGAGCTAAATAGATTCTTGAATGTAAAAAAAATAGATTTGTCTTGGTGAATAGCTTTTTTAACTTAAGATTCGGTTTAATGTAAAGGTTAAATTGAAATTTTAGTTCAAAATTGGCCTTAAAATAAAATTACTTTAGTACAATTTTTATATGTTAACAAAAAGAAAATGCGATGAAAAAAAATCCCTTCAAACATTTTTTCTCATAAACTTCAAGCTATTGGAATTTGGTTGAAAATTAATCAACACTGGATTTAAATGTTGCATAAGAAAGAAAGTTAATTTTTTATATGCTACATTAAATAATTCTTTATTTTTAGTTAACATAAAAATATTTTCTTTTGTTGGATAAGAATTTGATGCTAGATCGAAATTTTTGTTGCATAAAAGAAATTTTAAATTTTAGCTAGATACGCATATTTAAATAAAATAACTACCATGGTATTTAATCTTTGACATGCATTAGGTTGCCTTTCTTCATCGTCTGTTGTTAATATATAAACGTTGATCAACACTGGATTTGAAAGTTGTATAAGAAAGAAGACCGAAATTCGTGTTGCATTAAATATTTTTTAATTACCCAACTGAAAGGGTATTCAATCTTCGACATACCTTAGACAACGATTCTTTATCGTTTTTTGTTTATATATAAATGTTGATCAACACTGGATTTGAAATTGTATAAGAAAGAAGACCGCAATTCGAGTTGCATTAAATACTGAAAGAGTATTCAATCTTCGACATACCTTAGACAACGATTCTTTATCGTGTGTTGTTTATACATATTTTTATATTTTTGCAATTTCACTGGCAATTGGTCTTCGGCTGCTGCCTGTTCAATGTGGCGTATGCGCAATGTCTGCAAAACCCATAAATCGCACCCCAAGGAACCAAACCAGAAAATTTCACGCACATTTTCTTGACATTTTCATTCGATTGCGTTTCGGCATTTTCCCTCTGAGTTATGCATTTGTAAATATACATTTTGTATTTATATTTATTTTTATAAAGTAGGGTCCGTCTGGCATTCGTAATTGGTTTATTTATGTGTGTGCTTGGGTCAGCTTCAGTGCATTTTATGAGTCGGTGTGTGCCTCATTAATCTTATGCTAATGACAGCCACAAGGTCGTCGCAGTTCACAACAGATGCGCCCCAAAGAAAAGAAAACTTATAAAAACACAAGCAAATGCTGGGAAACGTCTGCAAAAGTTGACATGAAAAGCTTGCGGGTCGCACAAATGGCAAGAAGAAAATTGATAGGAAAGCAAAAGGAAAAGTTAAATAAAATGCAATATGCTGGAGCAGAAAAATCGACAATCAAATCTATAATGAAAACGAAACTTTGCAGACAAAAGCTGAAAGATTGTCAATTGGGCAAACTGCGGAATAAATACATAAATAATCGGAATATAAATAATGGATCTAAGAATCACAAGAATAATAAGCGTAGACACAACAGAAGACAGCTGGAAAATCGAAATTAGACATAATTGAAGAGAAAATTCGCAGTGCTGGAAAATTATATAAAAACTAGAAAGTAAGGATATCTTCCTTACGCCGAAGATTCAATTCATTTGTAGACATTTTCCCTTATGCAGACATGTGAGAATAGTGAAGCTCGAAAATGCTGAATTTGATGAAAATATCTTTGAAAACATAATATTTTTCCATATAAGATCCTATTATTCAGCCGATCTTTCCTATGGCAGCTATATGATATGGTGTTCTGATATTATGATGTGATA